CAGAAGGTGCTGGTCCAGCTGGAGAACCTGGAGACGGGTGTGGGTGACCAGTGCCGGAAGGAATTCACAGGTGCGTGGGTGCGTGTGTGTGTGTGTGTGTGTGTGTGTGTGTGTGCGTGCGCGTGCGTGCGTGCAGGGGCAGAGGGTCCACCAGTTCTGGGCCCACATCTTGATGGATCCTGGCCGCAGACCTGATGACCGAGATGACAGACCTCAGCAGTGACCTGGAGGCCAGTGGGATTCCCTTCCTGGACTACCGCACGTACGCTGAACGCGCCTTCTTCCCGGGCCATGGGGGCTGCCCGCCGCAGCCCAAGCTCCAGGGGCCTGGGGAAGAGGGCCACCGTGCCACTGTGTGCCAGGCCCTCACCCAGCTCTCCAACCTGCTCAACAGCAAGCTCTTCCTCCTCACAGTGAGGGCCGCGTGGTGCTGGGGTGGGCAGGGCACTTGGGGAGGGGTGGTCCAGCCATGCCAGAGGTGGGGCACAAGAGCAGGGTGTCACATGGGGCTTCCTGGAGTGAACACCCACTCCCTGCCCAGCTCATCCACACCCTGGAGGAGCAGCCCAGCTTCTCCCAGAGGGATCGCTGCCACGTGGCTTCACTGCTGTCCCTGGCACTGCACGGCAAGCTGGAGTACTTGACAGACATCATGAAGACCTTGCTCGGCGACCTGGCGGCCCATTACGTGCACAAGAACCCCAAGCTCATGCTGCGCAGGTTGGCCTGGCCCTGGGCGGGCTCTGCCCCTAGGGTGTGAAGCCCCTGGGGTGGAGGAGGAATGGAGGAGCATCCTGAGCAGGGACCTGGGCCCTCCTCCCCACAGGACAGAAACCATGGTGGAGAAGCTGCTCACCAACTGGCTATCCATCTGTCTCTACACCTTCCTGAGGGTGAGGGGCACTGTGCGGTGGGCTGACACCAGCCTGCCCTCCCAGCACATGGGGAACAGCCTGCCTTAGCCTCCCCAGCACACACCCGAGTCACCCTGGGGGCCTCTGTAGGTCCCCGGAGCCTGCCCCTGCCCAGCAGGCCCGCTGGAACCCCCTTTTCCCAGCTGCATGGTAGGCAGAGGCAGGGAGGGCTCAGGCCCCAGCCCCAGGGCCTGCATGGGCTGGCTGTCCCAATCGGTCCTTGCGCGCCCTGTACTCCCGCCATGCCCGCAGCTCGGCCTCCCTGGCACATGGCCCCGTGACCAATGCTGGCACACCTTGGTGGTTGCAGGAAGTGGCTGGTGAGCCGCTGTACATGCTCTTCCGTGCCATCCAGTACCAGGTAGACAAGGGCCCTGTGGATGCCGTGACAGGCAAGGCAAAACGGACCCTAAATGACAGCCACCTGCTGCGGGAGGACGTGGAATTTCGGCCTCTGACACTTATGGTGCTGGTGGGGCCCGGGGCTGGCGGGGCCGCAGGTGGTGCTGAGGTGCAGCGTGTGCCGGCCCGGGTGCTCGATACAGACACCATCACCCAGGTCAAGGAGAAGGTGCTGGACCAAGTCTACAAGGGCACCCCCTTCTCCCAGAGGCCGTCAGTGTACACACTCGACCTCGGTGAGAGAGCTGGTCTGCCCTGCCCAGCTCCCGCCTGGCACCTTGGGGGACTCCGGCTGATGGGCTTGCACTGGTCCCTCCAGAGTGGCGCTCGGGCCTGGCTGGTCACCTGACCCTGTCAGACGAGGATTTGACCTCGGTGACTCAGAACCACTGGAAGAGACTCAACACTCTGCAGCACTACAAGGTGCCGGCTGGTGGGGACAGGGCAGGGCAGGGCAGGGGAGCAGGACACACAGGCTCCCGCCTCAGGAGCACCACTGCAGGGCCTCCGCCGTCCCTGTCCCACCAGGTCCCCGATGGTGCGACTGTGGGGCTCATTCCTCAGCTGCACAGTGGCGGTGCTGTCTCCCGGAGCCTGGCACAGAGCTGCCCCTCGGGGGAGAGTGAGTCCTCTGTGGCTGGCTTCACCCGGCGGGGGCCCTGTTCCCACCCTCTGCCCTGCCAAGGCCACCACCCTCCACCCACTGCCTCCCATCTCTGTCCTCCCTGCCTGCCCTGTGGCACAGGCTGGGGGCAGGGGTGAGGCTGAGGCCCGGCCTCCTTGCGCCCAGACGTCCCCATGCTGGAGGAGGGCGAGGAGGGCGGGATGCGCCTGTGGCACCTGGTGAAGGCCACCGAGGAGCCAGAAGGGACCAAGGTGCGACGCAGCAGCCTCCGGGAGCGGGAGCGGGAGCGAGCTCGGGCCAAGGCCATTCCGGAAATCTACCTCACCCGCCTGCTCTCCATGAAGGTCAGTGTGCCTGCGGCTGGCGAGCTGGGGCACAGGGCGGCTCCTTACCCTGTGCCGTCACCCCGCAGGGCACACTGCAGAAGTTCGTGGACGACACCTTCCAGGCCATTCTCAGCATGAACCGGCCTGTGCCCCTCGCCGTCAAGTACCTGTTTGACTTCCTGGATGAGCTGGCCGAGAAGCACGACATCGAGGACCCCGAGACCCTGCACATCTGGAAGACCAACAGGTAGGCACCTTCTGGGCCGACGCTGCCCACCCTCACCGTGCGTCGCCATGCCCCAACACCAGCCAGCAGACCTCTGCCTGCAAGGGGCGGCCTAGGCTTCAGCCCGTGCCTGGCCTGTGTCCCTAGCCTGCTGTTGCGATTCTGGGTAAAGGCCCTGAAGAACCCACAGCTCATCTTCGACGTGCACGTGTCAGACAACGTGGATGCCATCCTGGCCGTCATCGCACAGACATTCATCGACGCCTGCACCATCTCAGAGCACAAAGTGGGCCGGGTGAGGGCAGGGCCGGGCCCTGGCAGTTGGGCAGAGGAGCAAAGGCTTCAGGGGCAGCCTGGTGGCCCGAGTGGGAACGCTGCTGGCTGCCCTGCCTCCCACTCATGCCAGCACCTCCCCACCTGGGCAGGACTCCCCAGTGAACAAGCTGCTCTACGCCCGAGAGATCCCTCGCTACAAGCAGATGGTGGAGAAGTAGGTGGTAGAGGTGGCAGGGCTGGGGGACGGGGCCACCTGGCCCTAACTCTGGGCTCCTGCAGATACTACTCGGACATCCGCCACAGCTCCCCAGCCAGCTACCAGGAGATGAACTCAGCTCTGGCCGAGCTCTCTGGGGTGAGGCGAGGGGCGGCCCTCCACCTTCGGGAGGATTCACTGGCACAGCCAGGGGTCTGGGGGCACCATGGAACTCAAGGCCTGGGCTGGGGCTCACTTTTGCCCACATGCTGCCCCCAGAACTACACCTCTGCCCCCCACTGCCTGGAGGCTCTGCAAGAGCTGTACAACCACATCCACAAGTATTATGACCAGGTGAGGCCCATGTGCTCTGGAGGGCAGAGGGCAGAGGACAGCCCAGGACGGCCCTGGGGGTGGCTCGATCCCGATCTTCCCTCACCAGGGGCAGTGGAGCTTTGCTGAGTTGGAGGTGGGGCCAGGTGTCCCTGCCAGGAGGCAGAAAAGGCCTCACGGGGTGCTCTGGTCACCTGGCAGATTATCAGTGCCCTGGAGGAGGACCCCTTGGGTCAGAAGATGCAGCTGGCCTGCCGCCTGCAGCAGATTGTTGCCCTGGTGGAGAACAAGGTGACCGATCTGTGAGCTGGCATAAACCAGGACCTGCTGTGGCCTTGCCTCGCTGCGATCCCAGGACCAAGCCAGGGCACCGGAGAGGAACCACCCTACTGGGCTTGTTTCTAATTTATGACATTCCCTACCCCTCTCCCACTGTATTTTCTTGCTGAAATAAAATAGAGAGGAGTCTCTTTTTGGAAAAGCCCAATCCCCAGCCCCTTGCAGCTCACTGCCACCACCCCACCAGTCCTACCCTTTCCCCTTTCCATTGGAGAAGACCCAGAATGGGCTTTTATTGTTTGTTTTTTGAGACAGGTTCTCAATATGCAGTTTAAGCTGGCCTTGAACTCAGTATGTAGCCCAGGCTGGTCTCAAACACACAGTGATCCTCCTGCTTCAGCCTCCCAAGTGCTGGGATGGCAGGTGTGCACCATCACGCCTGGATGATCTTTCTAAGCAATGAAAGTGACAACTTGTCGGCCTTGTTGGAACCCCACACTGGCACCCACAAATGTGAAGCAGGGCCTCTGTCCCCCCACACTGCCTATATTCCAGTCTGGGCCCCAGCTGTGCCCTGTGCTGCCCTGCGTGCTTCCAGTCCTGAGGTTGCAGTCTCCCTCTGTGCCACCTCGCTCACGGGCAGTGTCTGGGGGCCGACTGCTCCCGGGAGACGTGGTGGAGCTGGCTGTCAGCAGGGACCCGGCAAATGTTGGTGCAAATGGGGACACAGCAGGAGCAGTGGTCCAGAGCAAGCAGGGGGCTGGGAGGGAGGCTGTGCCAGGTACTGCAGTGGGGTCCTGGAAGGGTCTGGCACTCCCGTGGCAGGAACAAGCTGCTCCCCACTCTCGCCTGGCCCCCACCCAGCCAAGGGCCCTACGGCACCACAGTTGGGGGAGATATGGGCCCCCGCCTGTCTCGGGGAATATCTGCTAGCAGCCAGGGATTGGTCCGATGGGACTGAGAGGGTCACCCCAGGAGGATTCCCACAGGAGCCAAGTGGGAAGTCTGAGAATGTCCTGAAGGTTCCAAAATGCCACCAGTGCCTTGCAGCACGGGGGAGGTACTCAACCTGAGAACCTGGTCACCATGTCAACCACATCCTGTCACAGGAGGTCCCTGCGGTCCGCCCAGTATCCAGGCACTTGGACCGGGGTCAGGATTGCTTCGCCCTCTAGGTGCCCCTCAGTTGGTCCTGAGGTGCAGGAGCTCAAGCTGGGGCCTGAGTGGCCACTGGTTCTGTCCCACTCGGCCTGGGGGCCTGGCTCTGGCCACCATCCTGTCACCACACTGCCCCCTCCCTGAGTGCATACCTTGCCCACAGCCGAGCAGCTGGGAGGCTATTTATAAAGGCGGGTGAGATCAGCAGCCGAGGCTATAAACACACAGGCCACCACTCGGCCCCACAGGAGCGGCTGCCTGGGGTGCTGGAGCTGCAGGCTGTGAGGCTGGGATGAACGTGAGCACGGGTGGTGGTGGCGGTGGCGGTGGCGAAAGTGGCAGCAGCAGCAGCAGGTAGGGCTCGGCTGGGCACCCGGGGTCTCTGGCACACCACACACTCACTGCCTGCCCACCCCACCCTGCCCACAGTTCACAGGCCTCCTGTGGGCCCGAGTCCTCAGGCTCCGAGCTGGCACCAGCTGTGCCGGTGCCACAGATGCTGCCAGGGCTGCTGGGCTCTGACGATGAAGAACAGGAAGACCCCAAGGACTACTGCAAGGGTGAGGCCCGGCCTTGGGCTCACAAGGACAGCCCATAGCTCAGGGGCCCACACGGGCCAGATGGCTGTCGGGGCTGGCTGGCTGGGGCAGGGGAGATGCACTTGGCCTATCAGCTCCCTCCTGCAGGCGGCTACTATCCAGTGAGGATTGGGGACCTGTTCAACGGGCGCTACCACGTGGTTCGCAAGCTGGGCTGGGGCCACTTCTCCACCGTGTGGCTCTGTTGGGACATCCAGTGAGTGGCCCCCACTCCCCAAGGCCCAGCGCTGGCTGGGACTCTGCCCCAGGCTTGGTCGTGGCCCCGAGAGCATAGCTAGTGCTGGCACATGACAAGGGTCTCGCTGTTGCAGGCGCAAGCGCTTTGTGGCCCTGAAAGTGGTGAAGAGCGCCGGGCATTACATGGAGACAGCTGTGGATGAGATCAAGCTCCTGAAATGTGTGAGGCGCCTCCCCTCCACTCTGGGTTCCTGGGGCTGCCTGCCTGGGGCTGCCTGCCTGGGGCCTGGCAGAGTAGGTGCAGGGCCCATGGGGCTCAGCTGAGGACGGGTGGGGCTCCTGGAGGTGCAGGCTCCAGCTGGCACTGCCTAACGGGAGGGTAATGGAGGCGTGGGCGAGTGGAGCCACTGGTGCTTAGGGGGTACTGAAGCCACCTGGCTTCCAGGTTCGGGACAGCGACCCCAGTGACCCCAAAAGGGAGACCATCGTTCAGCTCATAGATGACTTCCGGATCTCAGGGATCAACGGAGTCCGTATCCTTGGCAGGCTGGATAGGGGTGCAGTGGGAAGGGACAAGCTTCCCCTTCTTAGCCTCTCGCACCTCTGCTTGAGCTGCAAGGTCCAGGAACGAATCCGCCTCTTTGGGCATCCGCTTCCGTATGTGGGGAGTGGCTAGCGGGTGGCTGTGGTGATCTGTGGTTGTGTGTGTCACCGAGACCAAGGAGACACTCGAGTAGACAGGGCCTCTCCAGTCAGTCACACATGACCATAAAGTGTGCCATGCCACCTGGCACACCTGGTGGTGACGGGGACACTGATAACCTGGGAGAGCGGTGGGCCCCCGCTGTGCGCCCTTCACTCCACACCCAGACGTGTGCATGGTGCTGGAGGTGCTGGGCCACCAGCTCCTCAAGTGGATCATCAAGTCCAACTACCAAGGCCTGCCTGTGCCCTGTGTGAAAAGCATCGTGAGGCAGGTGAGCGCCGCCTCCTGGGCTGCTCGACCGGCCTGGGCCACCGGTAGCTCAGGTGTGGCTGTGTTCAGGTGCTGCACGGCCTGGACTACCTGCACACCAAATGCAAGATCATCCACACGGATATCAAGCCCGAGAACATTCTGCTGTGCGTGGGTGACACCTACATCAGACGCCTGGCGGCCGAGGCCACCCAGTGGCAGCAGTCAGGGGCCCTGCTGTCCCGCTCCACAGGTACCAGGAGCAGGTTCAAGGCCAGCCTATGCCGCGGGGCCTCTGTCCCCACCTGACCTGCCCCCCTCTTTCTCCCTATCCTGCTGCTCCCCAGTCAGCACCGCCCCCCAGGAGGTCCCGGTAAGTTGGAGCTTTCCTCCTGCACTCTTCCTCAGCCACAGTGACACTTCTAAAGGCCGGGGTGGCCCCGATGAGGGAGGCAGACAGGGTGGGTCACATGTCCCCATGGCTACTTCCAGCTGCCTCAGCTGGGGCTGGGAGGGAACAGGAAGCACCCCAGGCAGGCAGAGACAGGCTATGGGGTGGACCGCAGGGCGGTTAGGGAGCTCCGACCGCCAGATGGCAGCAGCCCCGGGGATGACCGAGACTCTGGTGGCAGACTGGTAAATTGTCAAAGAACAAGCGGAAGAAGATGAGGCGCAAACGGAAGCAGCAGAAGCGGCTGCTGGAGGAGCGCCTGCGGGACCTGCAGCGGCTGGAGGCCATGGAGGCCACGGGCCAGGCCGAGGGTGAGGGGCCAGCGGGGCACTACACTGGCAGCGAGCGCACGTGCAGGCTGCTGCTCACATGGGCCTCTGCCCCCATCTCCTCAGACTCTGGCTCGAGACTCGAGGGAGGCAGCGGCTCCACCTCCTCCTCAGGCTGCCATCCTGGGGGTGCCCGGGCCAGCACTTCCCCAGCCTTGTCCTCCCCCGCTCCTGGGGGCGGCCGCAGCCTCAGCCCCAGCTCGCAGACATCGGGCTTCTCAGGCTCCCTGTTCTCTGCGGCTTCCTGCTCCATCCTTTCGGGCTCATCCAACCAGCGTGAGACCGGGGGCCTCTTGTCACCCAGCAGTAAGTGTCATGGGCGGGGACAGGCAGCAGGCAGCAGCGCAGAGGCACCAGGCTGCCCAACCCCTCTGCTCCTTCCTCCCACAGCACCCTTTGGTGCCTCAAACCTCCTAGTGAACCCCCTGGAGCCCCAAAATGCAGACAAGATCAAGGTCAAGATTGCAGACCTGGGCAACGCGTGCTGGGTGGTATGAGCCCCTTGGGGAGCCTTGTGGGGCACGGGCCCATTGGCGTAGCCAGCTGGGGAGGCAGGGCAGGGGTGGGGGCTGGAAGCGGCCAGCCGGGGCCGGCTCCTGTCCCCAGGGCTCCCCTCGCCTCCAGCACAAGCACTTCACGGAGGACATCCAGACACGGCAGTACCGGGCTGTGGAGGTGCTGATCGGCGCAGAGTACGGCCCACCAGCAGACATCTGGAGCACGGCCTGCATGGTGCGTGGGCACGGGAGGCCCTGAGGCTGGGCCACCTCTCACGGGCTGCAGCCTCACCTCTCCGCTCCTCACAGGCCTTCGAGCTGGCCACTGGTGACTACCTGTTCGAGCCCCACTCTGGAGAAGACTACAGTCGTGACGAGGGTAGGGAGCTGGGCCGGGGCTGGCACCCGGGGTGCCTACCCGATGCTCACCCACCCACATGCCCACTTCCCTCTGCTACCACAGACCATATTGCACACATCGTGGAGCTGCTGGGCAACATCCCCCCAGCCTTCGCTCTCTCTGGACGCTACTCCCGGGAGTTCTTCAACCGGAGAGGTGGGGGTGTGTGGGGGGGGGCAGGGCCGGTGGCCAGGGCCTCGGGACATGGCCTAACACTGCCCGCCCGCAGGAGAGCTGCGGCACATCCACAACCTCAAGCACTGGGGCCTGTACGAAGTGCTCATGGAGAAGTACGAGTGGCCGCTGGAGCAGGCCACACAGTTCAGTGCCTTCCTGCTGCCCATGATGGAGTACATCCCCGAGAAGCGCGCCAGTGCCGCCAACTGCCTGCAGCACCCGTGGCTCAACTCCTAGTCCCACTGCCCCACCTGTGGGCACACTGCCCTCCCAACTGGGGGCCAGCGTCCTTGGCCACAGCTGTGGCAGGAAAGCCCGGCCACTGCAATGCACCCGGCAGGCCTCTGTTCAGGAAAGCATGCGTGTTTCTTAATAAAGTGTGCACTGAACACCGGGATCCAGCAGCAGGGCTGGGCTGACGCCACTTTATTCTGGCTGTGGTGCTGGGGCGCAGGAACAGCCGAGGCCATCCCAGGAGGGCCTAGGCCCCCACGGCTCGGCCGTTGATGATGCGGATGTGGTGGATGATATCCTGGATGGCCTGGGACGTAGTGCCCTGGCCCCCGATGTCTGGGGTGTGCATCTGCAGGAGATCGGAAGTGTGGGCACGTTGGGCCTGCCAACACCCGCCCAACACAGGCTAGGGGGCAGTGGGGAGGGACAGGAGGAGCCTCACGTTTTCGTTGTCCATGGATGCCAGGACAGCTTTGCGGATGGAGGTGGCATAGGAGTGCAACCTAGAGGAAGGGAGTGGCGTTTGGTGCTTGGGCCAAGGGGCTGGTGGGGGCCTGGTGCTGGGCACTGGGTACCACTTACTTGAGGTGGTCCAGCATCATGCAGCTGGCGAGCAGTGTGGCCGTGGGGTTGGCGATGTTCTTGTTGGCAATGCTCTTGCCTGTGTTCCTCGTGGCCTGGGAAAAACAGGACACAGGAGGGTGGGTGGGACATGTCCAGCAGAGGCAGAACTCTGAGGTAGAGCAGGGGCACGCAGGGCCAGCAAGGGGAAGCCTGACGGCTCATGGGACGCGAGTCACAGCCCTGCAGGCTGCACAAGTTCAGGATGCCAGCCACATCCGCACTCACCGTCTCAAACACGGCATACACGTGGCCGTAGTTGGCCCCAGCCACGAGGCCCGGGCCCCCAACCAGCCCTGCACAGACGTTGTTGACAATGTTGCCATAGAGGTTGGGCATCACCATGACATCAAACTGCTGGGGCCGGGATACGAGCTGCAGGTGGAGGCGAAGGAGAAGGCAGCTGAGTGTGAGAAGCCCAGGCACCCAGGGTAGGAGGCCTCGGAGCCGGCGGGTGACTACCTGCATGGTGGTGTTGTCCACGATCATGTTCTCAAAGGTGATTTGGGGGTAGCGGGCCGCCACCTCCCGGCAGCACTGTAGGAAGAGACCGTCGCCCAGCTTCCTAGGAGGAGGCCAGGGAGAGGAGACAGGACATTGGCTTGGCTTGTCAGCGCGCGAGGTCGGCAGAAGCCCGACGACCAATTTCTAACCCACCCCATCTGCAAACCAGCACGCCCCACCCTCCTCTCCAAAGGGTGGGCGTGCTGTAGCCACAGACCACTGCGTGTGCCCCTCAATGGGTGGCCAGTGGCCCCACCCCCGAGTCCGAGAGCAGACCAAGCAAGCCACTCCAGCCGCTTTGGGGCACAGGCAGAGTGGTGGGGCACAGGGCACCTACATGATGTTGGCCTTGTGCACAGCTGTCACCTTCTTGCGCCCGCTCTCCTGGGCCAGCTTGAAGGCGTATTCAGCAATGCGCAGGGACTTGGCCTTGGTGATGATCTTCAGGCTCTCCACCACTCCTGCCACACTCTGCCAGGGAGCAGAGGGGGCGCCATGAGGTGCATCCCCAGCCCCGAGGACTCCTGGCTCCTCCCTTGGGCACGGCCCCCTTGAAGCGCCACCCTCTTCCTGGCTCCTCAAGGTCTGTGCCCGACGCTAACCCTGGCCGGGCTCACCTCCTGCTCCCCAAGACCCGAGTTTTGCCCACCTCATGCTCCAGGCTGCTGTACTCGCCCTCCGTGTTTTCGCGCACGATGAGGATGTCTATGTCCTTGTGCCGGGTCACCACTCCCGGCAGGCTCTTGCAGTGGATGACATTGGCGTAGAGGTCCAGGCTGGTGCTGAGAGGGGGACAGAGGAAGATGCAGGCTGGACCTGACTGGCAGCTGGTCAGGGCCACGACCACTGGCACAGCCCACCCTGGCCCTCGCCGGGCCACCTCCTCATGCGTGAGGCTCTCACCGGAGGATGTTGTTCCGGGATTTGTGGGACGGTGGTAGGTTATGGTTTGTTTCAATGTTGCCTGTAGAACCAAAACAAAACAGGTGGGCTGGAGAGGGTCCCCAAGCTCCACCGTGCCGCCCTGTCTCCTTGCCTGGTGCAGGACGTGTGCGCCAAAGGCTGCTGCCAGTGGAGGAGATGCCAGGATGGGACACGAGGTCAGACTGTGTGGGGAGCACCTGGCCCACAGCAGGCACCTGCTAACTGTTTACCAAACAAATGGGCAAACGAAGAATAAAAACGCTGGCAGCTGGCACGAAGCCCTGCCATTCCCCGGCCAGACTGGCCCAAGAGAAAGTGAGCACTCCTGCTGCCAATAGGCTGGCTGGCCAGGCTGGAACCCACAAGGTGACCTTGGGCTGGGTTATGGCCAAGGTCCCAAACTGACGTGCCCATGGGCCTACACAAGCGGAGAGGACACAGCTTGGACCGCAGAGCAGGGGCCTAGGGGACTGGGGGTCTGGCACTGCCAGGGGAAGGAGGTCAGAGGGTGCCAAGCAGAAAGGCCTTTCTGGAAGCCCACCAGGCCCACCCACCCATCAGCACGCCCCCCCCCCATCCATCGCCAGCACTGAGCTCTCCTGCTCATGGCCCCCGCACAGGCCTCATGGGCTGAACTTGCAGAACGGTGGAGGTCAGGAAGGGCAAACTCGGCAGGGGCCCCACGGAACTGCACCTTAAGGACTGCTCTGCAGAAGACCCCAGCAGAGGGAGTGTCGCAGGGGGAAGGAAGAGGTGGGAAGGAGCTCCCACAGCTGCCCACCGCCACTGCCATCGTGCTTCCACAGACACGCAGAGATATCTACCCAGACTCCACGCAAGGAGTCCCCTCGGGCCAGCAGCCCAGCACCAGAGTTCCGGAGCCCCAGAGCCAGAGAGCCTCACCCTTCAGGGCCACACGGTTCCGACGGATGGCCATGATGGCATTGCAGATGTCCTCCTCGTCAGCGTTGGAGCTCACGTGCACCTCTTCAAAGTCCACTGGCACACATGCATGCCTGGGGCAGAGCGGGGTCAGGGAGGCTGGCCCAGGGCCGCAGCCTCCTCTTCCAGGAAGCCTGCCCTGGCTGCCACTGACAGAGGCCTCGCCCTGTGGCTGCTCACCCCAGCCCAGCTATGGCTGGGAGGGACTGGGACCACCATGCCCACAGAGGAGGACATGTCTGAACCCGGCTTTCCAGGCCTTCCTGCAGCTGCCACACCGGGTTCTCAGGCAAAGCCCCTCTTGCCAAAGTTACCAGGGCCCGTTGGCTGTGCCAGGGCAAAACCCACCCCCTGGGGGACACATCTGCATACCTGAACACAGACTTCACATGCAGCATGAGCTCCGGCCCGATGCCATCCCCAGGGATCATGGTCACTGTGTGCCGCCCACCATACTTAGCCGATGGAGGCTGCAAGGAGGGAGAGGGTGGGGGCGGGGCTCTGGGCGCCCCCCAAGCTCCCTGCTCAGCACCTAGGGCCTCGAGCCAGCACCCCCTTCCCACCACCACTGACCCCACAGCCAGCCCATCTGGAGGCGCCCACTCCAGGTCAGGCTCCCTGCTCAGCAACAGTCCCAGAGCCAACGTAGACTTGGGTCAACCCCAAAGCAACTGCAAAGCCCCTACAGCCCACCCAGAGGAGAGGAGAATACTCACAATTGTTTGCTGCTAGAGGGAGGACAGAAAGGAAGAACACAGGTCAGGCAAGGTCGGAGGAGCAAGACTGCTCCCAGGAGACGCAGATGCCCTCTAGTACAACTCAGGGAAGGGCGAGGCGGGAGTCACCTCAGAGGCCAAGAGTGAAGCATGAGCACGCGCACGCACAGTCCCGGACCCCCACTCACACCCCCACAGCCCTGCAGGCCCCAGGCAGGTACTCACCGAGGAGATGTGCCTCCGGGGGGCCTCGCGGGCACTCAGTACCTGGCAGAGAAAACCCAAATGCCATGCTGGTCATCTGGCCTGCAAGTCAAGTTGGCAAGGGCTGGCCTAGCTCTGGGAAGGGAGGAGAGACTGAGGCTGGCAGACTCGGGTGGAGTCTGCCCGAGTGCTGGGGACAGGAGGGGTGGCCGCAGGGCCCGAGCCCCAAGGGCACCTCACTGGGACACCAGGCTGGGTTCGTGCGTCCCTAGGCCTGCAGAAGGCAGCCTGGACAGCCCTTCTTCCAGGGGCTGAGCCAGGCGCTAGCACTGCCTTTCCTCAGCTCGGAACACCATCCTCGGCCAGCACTGCCTTGTTTTCCTCCCAGCCCCATCACTCCAAGACCTAGCACAGTGTCTGGCCCCAAGCTGGGATGCAAGGGACGTTTTCCAAGTATACAAATACATCAGAAAAGGAATAAAAGACGGAGACTTGGGAGCTCTCAGTCCAACGCCACCTTCTGCTACTCTCAGGATGGCTTCATGCCCTTATCTGAAAACCGTGCAAGAGAGGCACCTACTGCATGTGACAAGAGAAGGCCTGGGAGCAACTCACAGGCCCCAACAGGGTTCCTTCACCCTCCCAGCTCCTGGTGTCCTCAGGGGACACAGGGCTGAGCCCGCAGTTCATGCCCACTGGGCTTCAGCTGTGGCACTGAGCTGGCTCCTGAGGGCCTACCCCTGGCTGGGCTCGGCTCTGAGCAACCCTAGCCACAGCTGGCACTATCACTACCATGGACAAACTTCTCCAGCAGCTGCTTTCTGGGCCACATGTCCTGCCGGGCTCTGGCCAAAGTGCCAAGAGCTCTCCAGACAGAGACTTCCCTGACCTTGCTCTGTATAGGTTACAAAGGCTCTGTCGCCCTGGGAAGCCACCAAGCAAAGCTGCCTGGTGTACAGGCTTTACACACAGACACAGGTCTGTCATTCTTTGGCAGTTTCCCAGAAAGCCATGGGTACAGGGTGGCACAGGCCCCTGCTGGAGGGCTGCTCTTGCCATATCCTACTAAGTCTTCACTCTAAGGCTTCTGCTGCATCATGTGCCTCCCAGGAGGTCCCAGTGAGCGACATCCAAAATCTGATGTTCCTTTAGAAGGGTTTCCATACCCAGGACACCCAGGCTCAGGAGAAGGCCCTACCTGGCCACCAACCTTTTCTGCCCCAACACCCACCCCAAGAAGCAGGCACACAAGCACGTGCACACACAAGTGTGGTGTGTGTGCGGGTTGACAGATGTCTTCGAGAGCAGGCAGATGCCTAGCTGCAGAAGCCTCCAGGGCATCTGGAGATTCTCTACAGTATGTGAAACACCCTCTCATCAACAATGGGGGAGAAACCAACATTTTTGTTTCTTTGTTTTTTGGAGACAGGATCTCACTATGTAGTCCAAACTGGCTTTGAACACACTAGCCCAGGCTGGCCTCAAATTCATGGAGATCCTCCTGCCTCCTCAGCCTCCTAAGTGCTGGGATTACAGGCGTGCACCACCACACCCAGTTTGAAGCCAGCATTTTAAAGGAAACTGCAGAAAACATAAACAGTGTTTCCCAGAGGACACAGGGGTTACACATGGGAGTAAAAACGTCCCCAGGGAGCATCAACAAAATCATGGGGTTTTGGAAGGTCAGAATTGGCAGGGTCCTTTGAGGACAGAAGTCCCCGTCCCTTTGGCTGGATAAGGGGAACGGGAACCCAAAGAGACAGGGGATTGGCCTGAGGCTATGGCGCTAGTGGGGTGGTGGGGGAGCAACGGTGTAGGTCCTGTCTCATCCCCAGGCAAAGTGCCGGCTTGCTGCTGCTAAGCAGCGCTAACAGGACCGCTATCTTCGTCCTAGACACGAGGAAGGAAGACTCAGACCCGGAAAATCAGGACTCTAAACTGAGAAGGGAGGAAGCAAAGTCTCCGCAGCCTCCAGGTCCCAACAGTTCCTTCCCATCTTAGGTGCTTGAGGAGGGGGGATCTGGGGATCTAAGAATACGGTCGCGATCGGGGTGATTTTCCAAGCCCGATTCTCCACCTCCAAAGGGACTGGTGACAAAGCGGTCCACCACCACAGAGAAACCCGAAGTGGAACGCAGTCTCGGAACGGGGTACTCAAGGCGGACTGGCAAGCGCGACGGCCTCGAGAGGGCTCCCCATGGACCCGAAGACGGTGACACTCAGCCGCCGCGGCCTACCCTCCCAGCCAGTCCGGAGCTCCCGCCACCAGACCTAGACCCCTGGAGCAGCCAGCTCTGGGCCAACTTCGGCCAATCCGCTCACTGACGGCAGAGGCGGCCAATGAGCTCCGGCGCGCGGGCCTCTGCCCGCCCCCCTGGCGTCCTGCAGCCAATCGAACACCAGGCCGCTCAGAGCCGCTGCACCGTCCCGGCCCCAATGGGGTGCGAAGCCCCCCAGCGAGCTCTGCGGCTACTCTGTGTCCCATCCGCCACTCACCTCCCAAGGACGGCAGAGGAGGGCTGGCCTGAGCACGGTCTTCGCAGCGGTGGCGGCAGCCGTCGTGACCTTCAGCGCCATGACGGAAAGACCCGCCGAAGGTGTAGACACTGTTCTCGCGACAGTCGACTGCGCGAGAAATTCCGGGGGCCGCTGCAGGGCCTGCATTGCGCACGCGCGCGGCCGGCCGGTGCCAACACCCCCTTCCGGTGCCGACTCCCCCTTCCGGTGCCGGAGCCCTACGGCCCCCGCGCTCGCCATCTTGGCGGGGGCGCGGCCGGCTGGGTGTCCGGCTCCAGGAGGGGGACACGTCAGTGCCGCCGGTGACGTCACGAGTCCCGACCCGGCCCGCCGGCGTGCGATTGGCCGCGGCGGGACTTACGCGTCGCCCTTCCTCGCCTGCGGCGCGTGTCCGGGAAACGCGCCCTCTTTTCCTTTGGCCAGGGAAGAGGCGATGGCGACGACGGCATCTCCCGGCGCCCTGGCGCTGCTCCTGCTGTGCGCCCTGTCTTGCTGCTCAGGTAGCGGCCGGTTGGGAGCTTGATGCAGGCGAGCCTCTGCCCCACGGCAGTGGTACTAGGGGAGGAGATGGGGCCTGCGAAGCGGGGGTCCGGGCCTTCCTCGGAGAGGCGGCTACCAAAGCAGCACACACGGCGACTCGGCAGGCAGGCTGCTGGAAGCAACACCTATGCCTTCCCCTCGTCTGCACCGTGCTCGCTGCCACCACCTCCAGCAGGGAAGGTGACACGCGGCCCGGCCCGCTCCCTGTCTGGGAGGCACTGTTGCCGAGCAGTGGCGGTTAGAAACAAGGCTGGCAGACGGAAGCCCGCTGAGTGGTGCGGTGCAGACCAGGGCTTTCCGGAAAAGTGAGAGCTAAGTGACAGACCGAGCAGGGAGTGTCCAGGCAGAAGGCCAGAGCACAGGAGCAGGAGCCTTGAGTGCCGGGCTAGACTTAATTTTCCCTGAGGCCCTGACGCATCTGTCCAGAGCTCTCAGCAGAGCTGAGCCACTGGATCCCTGTTTCGAATTTACTAGGGATGCCTAACACCTGGTGGTGGCATCCAGGTCGGCCTGGGGTCCCGAGGTTGTCGAGGGGGTTGTCACCAGCTGCATCAAGGCTGGGGGCCTGGGCTGGGCGGGAGCTGACTTCAGCCACACTTTCCTGGGCACTTGGGCCTTCCTGCCCGGCCCTTCCCACCTGCCCTTCGAGAATTCCCCAGGCTGCAGCCAGAGGTGTCCTGAAAGGACAAGCTTGGCTGTCAAATCTGTCCACAGGACAAAGGCCCATGAGAGCCACGCCCTGCCACCTTTCCCAGGCCTGTCCCAAAGCCATCCCTCTCCCAAGGCAGGCGTTCACTGAGAACTTTCGCACGGGGCACATTGGCTTCGTGCCCTCTGTGGAGGCGGAGCTGGCTGAGGCTGGGTTCTCAAGCTCAGGGATGCCTCCTGTTCAGGCACAGTTGTGCGTCCGTGGGAAGCCCTGAGACCAGGCCTGGTCTCCTGTCAGCTGGCTGAGGACAGAGCCTTCTCCCCATCTTGAGAGCCCCTGGGCACTGCCAGCACCCACCTTGGTGTCTCTGCCGAAGATGTCCTCGACATTGCCTGCCTCTGGATGGAGGTGGCATGGCCCCCTCTCACAAAGCCAGGCACTGATCCATTGTGCATGCCCCAAAACACACACTTCCTCGTCCCTCGCCCTTGTCAAGCTTTGTCTCTGCACAACTTCCTTGTCCCTCCCTCGCCCATTTGTGCCCATCAACCCCCTTCCACTGTCCTCTGCACCGTGGGATTGGGCCTCAGACCCCTGCGTCCTCAGCTGACCAGGTCTGGGCTCAGCACACCCAAGTGCCACCTCCTCCCCTAGCAGAGGCCTGCGTGGAGCCCCAGATCACCCCTTCCTACTACACCACTTCAGATGCCGTCATTTCCACTGAGACCGTCTTCATCGTGGAGATCTCGCTGATGTGCAAGAACAGGGTCCAGGTGGGCCTGGGGAGGTGTATCTGGGAGGCGGTAGGCACATTGCTGACCGCTGGCAGTGGACAGCACCCAGAGGACTGGGACGATGGGGAAGGGGTTCCAATTCAGGGCTGTGGGAGAGAGCAGGTCCTGCCTAGCAAGTGCTTTACCAGCATTTTCTCTTTTTTTGTTTTTGTTTTTTGTTTTGTTTTGTTTTGTTTGGGGGGGGTGGTACTGGGGATCAAACTCAGGATTTTGTGCTTGTGAGGCAGGTGGCGGAGCCAATGAGCTACATCCCCGGCCCTGGTTTTTGGTTTTTTGAGACAGAGACTAGCTATGTATTCTAGACTGGCCTTGAACTCACTATGTAGCTCAGGCTGGCCTCGAACTCATGATGATCCTCCTGCCTCAGCCTCCCGAGTGCTGGGATGACAGATGTGCGCCACCACGCCCAGCTTCACAAGCATTTTCCTGACCTGCTTGGCATGCTGTGCCTGTTTGCAGTCATACTGGATGCACCCCCCCCACCTCCACCCTGTTTGCTGAATGAATGTCTAGAACTGAAAGGGCCACGCTCAGCCCCTCGAGTCCCTCCATCCCTTTTCTGGTTGTTGTTTGCAGGAGTATTTGTTGGTGTGTATGTAAGTTGCAGATTGAGAAGCCTGGCCAGGCATGGTGACAGGCCTGTCACTTCAGCACTTGGGAGGTTGAGGTGGGTGGGTCCAGAGTGTGAGGCCAGCCTGGCTATGTAGCCAGACTCTGTCGCAAAGATAAAATCAAAATTGAGGATCCTGGAGCCAGACATGGTGGCACATATCTATAATCCCAGCCCTTAGGAGGCTGAAGCAGGAGGATCGCCGTGAGTTTGAGGCCAGTCTGGGCTACATAGTGAGACTGTCTCAAAAAAAAAGAAAAGAAAAAGATTGAGAATCTGGCCTTGATCTCAGGCCTGCATTCCCTGAAGTCCAAAGAAGGAAGCTGGGCCTCTGTTGAGCCCCCATGCTCCTTGGGCAGTTTGTGTGGCTGCTCTGGCATGATAGGGCTTCCGTCCCACCTCCCCTGTGCAGTTAACAAGCTAGCCTGGCCTGCCATGGGCAGCATAGAGGAGCCTCTCCCCACAGCTGCACAGCGGTGACGGTAACTTGCCCTTTGTCCTCTCAGCAGAACATGGCCCTTTATGCTGATGTCAGTGGGAAGCAGTTCCCTGTCACCCGCGGCCAGGATGTGGGCCGCTACCAGGTAAGGGGGGCCGGGTCCAGGGTTGGGAGGAGCTGCCTGTGCGCGAGTGGGACCCGAAGCAGGGCTGAGGCTGCATCACGGTCCACTGCGCTACCTCGTGCCACACCCACCCACCAGGTGTCCTGGAGCCTGGACCATAAGAGCGCTCATGCGGGCACTTACGAAGTCAGGTTCTTTGATGAGGAGTCCTACAGCCTCCTGAGAAAGGCAAGTGAGCCCCCGCGAGGGAGGGAGGGAGGGTGTGTGCTGCTTCTGCAGCCCAGCACCCCTGACCTGGTCTCTCCTGTGCAGGCTCAGAGAAACAACGAGGACATCTCCATCATCTCGCCGCTCTTCACAGTCAGCGTGGACCACCGGGTGAGTGGCCTGGCTGGGGATCGGCCTGGGAGGAAGGCTTACTCCCTGCAGCCTCTGCTTCCGTGTTTGCCTCGTCTCGAACTTGTGACTCTTCTGCTTCAGCCTCCCAGGGTGCCGGGAGTACAGGCCTGTGCCATCTCACCCAGCGTGGCCAGCGTGTCTCCATGCCCCTGAGGCAGCTTTCGGTCCTTTTCCTTGCAGGGCACCTGGAACGGGCCCTGGGTCTCCACCGAGGTATTGGCCGCCGTGATCGGCCTCGTCACCTACTACCTGGCCTTCAGTGCCAAGAGCCACATCCAGGCCTGAGGGAGGCAGGGCCTCCTTGGCTTCTTTTCTCAATAAACAGTGTGTAGCTGTCACGAGTGCCCTCCTCACTCAGAAACACTGGGGAGCAGCGCGGCCCGGGGAAGCCTGGGTAGAGGGACACTGTGGGCCCCGCCTCTGCCCTGTGCCCTGTCCCTACCTCCTCCGTGTCTTCCCCCGGCTGCTATCCCCTCTGTCCCAGCACACGTCCTCCTGCCCTCAGTGGGCCCCACATGGCATCGTGTTCGGGCCCGTAGTGCTGCTGGTGGCACCTGGGTTTGGAGTGAGGGCATTCGTTGCCCACTCTGCACGGGACACTTGGCACATGCCAGACACCAGCCACTCCATGCCACAGGCAACTGGTGAGGTAGTGAGGACCCTAGTGTCCACTGGGGCCGGGTGCAAGTCCCAGGCAAACCCTTCCTGGCTCTGTGGCTGTCGTGAGACCACTGTACCCCTCCGGGGTGCTCAATTCTGGAGTGAGCAGCAAGCGCCATCTGCCAGCAGCGGCTGGGGCGGGGCATTGGCAGCAGTCGCCATCCACTGCTCTCTCCCCGGCCTGATGGCAGCGGCTGTCGCAGGTCCTAGGGCCCAGTGCCTCTCCTGAGCCAGCCAAGGGGCTCCAGCTCTGGGCAGCTGGAGAGTGACACCAAGGGACAGCTGGCACTGGTCTGTGCTGGAATCCACGTGGGCCGAGTCCCTCCCAGGGGGTAGGGAGCCAAACCCTGCCCACAGGCGTCCCAGGCATGACTGCCAGGTGATAAGCTCTACTTTCCTCCTGGAGTCGCCTGGTGTGACAGGCATCACTGGAGCTGCAGCCTTGTAGCCTGGCCTTCCCAGCAACTGGCTCAACTTCCAGGAATGGGCCCTGGGACTTCCACTCATCCCCATCTGGTCCATCACCAACTTGCTGCTTGGAGCTCGGCATTTAGCAGTTCTTTGGGGTGTTTGGTAGTTTAGGGGTTTTTTTGTTTTGTTTTTGAGACAGGGTCTCACTATGTAGTTCAGCCTGGCCTTGAACTCACTATGGAGCCAGCTGGCCTCAGACTCAGCGGTCCTCCTGCCTCAGCCTCCCAAGTGCTGGGATGACAGGTGTGCACCACCACACCCAGGGACACTCAGGAATTCGTGAACTGACAGCTCTTCCCTCAGCACAACAGCGTGGTGAGAATGAACACAGGGAGGCTATGATTCAAACAGTAAAAAGACAGCTTGCTTTATTCTCAAGATGCAGGGGCAGGGATGTGGCAGCTGTCTGCCTCCAAGCCAAGGGTACTGCACAGGCAACACCCGGAGAGGGCTGGGCGTCTCCCTCCTGCTTGGCCCACCTCCCTGTCACCTAGTTCTCTCCAGGCTGAATGGCCTGAGGTCTCTCACTGTCGCTCACAGGGCTTGGCTTCTCAGCCCCCCCCATCTATAATGGTCCAGCCCCAGATGGCATCGGGCACAGTGACTTCTCGGGTGGACACTGTTCCCTCAGCCCCCACAGTCTCTGGGGAGGGAGGCAGCCCCAAGGAGTGAACCTTGAGAAAGCAGAGTTCAGGCTCCCATCCCACCCTCAGCACGGAGCCCCCGGCAGCTGCTTCCCATTCCTCCCACCACCCTCCCCTCCCACCCTCCCCCGCTCCCCCCACTCCTTCCCAGCCAGCACCAGGGCTCCACCTCTGCCCCTCCGCCAGGCTGCCCACCCATGGCAAGGCCACAAAACAGAAAAACAACTATCTGCAAGCACAGAAAGGGAGAAAAACCACAAAAACCGGGGGTGCCTTTGTCTACAAATAACCGCAGCTCCCAGGGCGTGAAGCAGGGTGTTCTCTTAACTTCCCTGCCTCCAAGCACAGGGGTGCTCAAGGCCAGCTGTCGACATGGTCTGGTTACTTGGGGAGAAGGAAGTAGGCCATGCGGAAGGAATGTCCTTTCTCTTCCCCACACACATGAGGACAGGCAGAAGGTGCAGGAATGCAGTGCACGCGCGCACACGCGCACACACATTCACACACACCAAACTTGAGAGGAAGCTGAAGGCTGCCCGGCAGCTCAGACAGTGGTGACTGACAGCAGGGGGTTGTAGACCCGCTTGCCGTCTGCCGAGCGTGCACCGTGGGCCAGCATCTCCTGGATGGTGATCCAGTTGTCCAGGATCTTCTTGTTCCGCTTCTTCATGGTCTTGCGGTGGCTCAGCGCGATGATGTTGAGCTCAGGCTTGCTGTCGCCACTCTGCTGCTCCCGCAGGCACTCCAGCCGGCTCTGCATCATGAACTCGCGGCGCTTCCGCTGCTCCCGAGCGCGGATCAGGTGCTGCTTGCGCTCCTCCTTGCTCCAGTAGCGGCCCATCTTCATCTCGCTCACCGCATCGTCGTCGGTGGTCATGCCGCTGCGCTCCTCCCGGATCTTCAGGGCCCGGGCCTTCAGCAGCCGGTCGCGCACAGGCCTCTTGGCCACGTAGCGGGTGCCATCGCTGCGCACCTTCACCTTCCACTCCATGCGAGGCGCTTCCACCGAGGCTGCCACGCCACACACCCGGGGGCCACCGGCCAGGCCCAAGGCGCCGCGGCCCAGCTCCTCTAGGCTGCGCGGCGGGGTCAGCTGCATGCAGCTGTGGTAGTGCTCGCTCTCCTGGCCCTGGCCAGGGTGGCGCCGCAACAGGTAAGGGCTGCCTTCGGGGCCCACCTGCTCCAAGGCCACCCCGGCCTTGGGGCTGCGGCGGACGCGCTCCTCCGAATGCTGCCTCCGGCCTGCCTCGGGGTCCCGGGAGAGGGAGCGGAACTTGGCCGGGCTTCCAGGCGTGGCGGTCGTCTTGGGGGGGCCAGTGATCGGGGGGCCGGGGAGGGTCCGGTTCAAGTTGGAGTTGCCGGCGGCGGCAGCGGCAGCCCGCTTCAGGGGGCTCTCCGGCGGGGGCTCCACAAGCAGTGGCGTGCTGCGGCAGCTCTCCCCTGTGTTGTAGGCGCTGGTGCTGTCCTTGTCGGACTTCTCTGGCAGCTCGGAGATGTCGGACAGCTCGTGCTTCTTGGGCTCACCAGCTGCCAGGTCGTACAGGCTCTCCTCCTCCAGCAGCCAGGCCTTCATGCAGCGTTCCCGCAGCTGCTGCATCTTCTGCGCGCGCAGGATGTTGCGGCACTTGAACTCCAGGTGCCTCAGCTCCTCCTCCAGCATGGCCATCTCGTGGCCCAGGCTCTCGTTGCGGTTGACGTCCAGGGCACCGTTGCCTGCCGAGGCCCGCGCGAAGAGCAGGCCCAGCTGGTTGCCATTCTCCAGGTGGCACTTGATCTCCAGCAGCTCCCGGTAGCGCTCGTACTCCTCATCCGTGAGGCCAGGCACATCCCCTGCGCCCAGCCCCGCAGCCTCAGCCAGCAGCGAGTCCATGCTGAAGTGCAAGTCCCCTTGCAGGCCGAACTTGCGCAGGGTCCCTGGGGTGTTGGTGGCACTGGGGGGCTCGTCCCCCAGCAGGTCGTGCTCCGAGCTCTCTTCATTGCGCGTGCTCTCATCAGTGCGGCCCACCCCGCTGTCCAGCTCCTGGCTGTTGCTCAGGCCTGGGCCTGCATCTGGGGCCCCCTTGTCCTCCTCGTTTCCGAGCTGGGGCAGAGACAGGCACACTCAGGGGCTGTCTCAGGAGGCAGGGCCACTGAGGGTCTGGAGCACAGGGACCCTGCCCACCCCGCCCCTTCCTCGTGTTCTCACCTGCTGGGCAGGAGGTGATTTCAGCTTCCGAGCACACAGGTCCCCCTCATTCTCAGAGCCAAAGTCATCCAGGAAGTCATCCCGGTCACTGTCCTTCCACCGTTTTGCCAGCTGCATACACAGGTTCAAGCTATCCCTGTGGCTGCCAGGACTCCCCAGAAGTTCCTCTGGCCCCATGCCTTCCTGCCACCTGTCACGCTCTCAGGGCTGTGAAACAACCCAGCAGAGGGGATCCGCAGCCCACTTGGCTGTCAGAGACTGCGACCCCTGCCCAGTCCCCTGCCTGCTCCAGGTTGGTCATAGGTCAGTCAGGCGAGCACATACCTGGCTCTCAGGCCGAGCCACCAGCAGGGAGATGTTGGTGTTCTCCTCCTGGCTCAGGATGGCCACTGCCTCTTCTCGGTTCTGGACGTCCATGCCGTTAATCTGCGATAGGCCAGGGAAAAATCAAAGGATGTGTGTTAGGACTGCCCTGGGGGCCAAGCTTCTGAGCTCTGGGCGGGTGTGAACTAGTGAAGGGGCCAGGGAGAGGATGCAGTGAGCCTGGAGGGAAAGGAGGCAGATCCCACAGGCACAGGCTCCCACAGCGGAGCCACTAGGGGCAGCTGAGTGGCAGACCAGGCCTCACTGGGCATGACTGGGGGCCGGGGGCTCACCTGGATGATTCGGTCCCCCTCTCGGATCCGGCCGTCTTTGGCTGCAATGCTGTTGGGATTCACCTGCAGAACACATACATCTTGGGGACCTGGCACCTAAGGTGCCCAGTGCAGTGGGAAGGGGCGGCCTCACCTCCGGGGTCTGCAGAGCAAACTGGAGGCTCCCTCTCCCACTGCAGCTCAGGAGCTGGGGCCAGGGAAGCTCCTGTGCCCCTGCCCTTCCCCTGGTACTCCCATGCTCCTTTGCACGGAAGCCTACTCTTCTGCCCAGGGCTGGGCCAAGAACATCAGCCTGGGGGCTGGATGGGCAGTGGGCCCTTTACCATTCGAAAGGTTAGCTCTACTAGGGTGTTGCCAGTACAAAGCTAGGCATGGTGGCGCACATCTGTCATCCCAGCCCTTGGGAGGCTGAGGCAGAAGGATCACTGCTAGTTCGAGGCCAGCCTGGGCTACATAGTGAGTTCAAGGCCAGCCTGGATTACTTAGCAAAACCCTGTCTCCAACAACAACACAAAGTACATTGCTAGTGGAGGAGTGCTGGGGAACTGTGTGGCCCCCTGCGCATACACAGACATCGGGCTGGCTGCAAGATGTGGGAGAGAACAGGTTGCTGGACACACTGAAGCCATCAGCTGCCCTGGCCTAGCCATGCCACGACCCCCATACCTCTCCAACATAGATTCCCAGGTCCTCCTCATCGTCCGTGCGGTAGCACACCATCAGGCCCAGCTTGTCTTGGTGGCTGCTTTTATAAAGCTCCACCTCCTGCCGCGAGGATGGGAGGAAGCAGAGGTAGAAAGGCCATGCACGTGAACGAGGACGCCCTGACTCCGGAGGCCTCACAGTCACCTGAGCTGCTCGTCCAGTCCCTGGCCTTACCATCCCAGGGCACACAGGACACACAACATGTACGGACGCATGGGACGCACGGACACAGACATGCGGGGACAGGGACTCACCAACAGAGGTGGAACTGGCCACCTCACCAGCGCCCTCCCTGACTCAGTGGGCGCCTGGGAAGGGCAGCAGGAGCCAGGCCAAGCTCACCTCATACTCCAGCTCATCCTGCGGGCCTCCCTCCGTGAATTCCGTCGGGTCATAATACTCATGGCTGATGGGGGTGCTGCCCAGGGGAAGGTGGGCGTCAGGCAGCCCAGGCTGGCTGCTTCCTGCACCCTGGAACCCACTCCCACACTCTGGGGGGTGGGGGTAAGTGGCCATGCCTTCTCCAGAAGCCCCTGCTCCTGAGCACGTGCCCCCCTGTGTCCCGGCTCGCCCCACCTGTCCCCACACTGGGGACCCACTTCTCCAAAGCTCCGGGCGCCCCACTGCCCCCAGCACCGGCCCACGCATGCAGCGCCCCCAGGAGTTACCCAGGCCCCAGGCCATGTGCAGAACAGATGGGCACCCCTCCACCTGCAGGGGCAGACTGCTGGCCACCAGGAGGGCCCAAGAGAGAGGCCGAAGACATGGAGGGGACTCAGAGTGGGCGGAGGAATGGGAAATGGGACAGGGATGTGACAAGATTCAGGGGTGAGGCCTGTGAGGAGCCAGAGGCCATGGAGGAAGAGATGGAGGAGCAGTGAGTTCCCCCAGGCAGCTGCGTGAGCCCAAGGCTGGAGGCCAAGCCAGGTCCCCGGCACAGGCTGGAGCCCTGTCAGTGCTGCTCAGGGTGGCACATCCTCTCTGGAGCAGGCCTGGGGCCCTCCTGAGGACAACTCACAGCTCAGACAGGACGTACGGCTCCAGGATGCCCATGGGCGGGGTGGGCGGGCGCAGCTTGCCCAGCGCCATGATGTGCTCAAAGGTGACGTCGGTCTGAGTGCCACTGTCCACCAGCTGCAGGTCATGGCAGGAGCTGTCCCCCCGCAGGCGGGGGCTGCGTCTCAGCACCTGGATGACCAGGGGCTCCTTGGAGGTACGAAGGGCCTCCAGCGTCTGCTCCTGAGACAGCTTGGAGAGCTCCTTCCCGTTCACCTGCAGCAGAGACACTCCTGGTGAGAGCCCATGAGGGCGCCTGCTGGTGAGGGCCAAGGCCAGGGGTCCCGGCTGCTCCACACAGACGGCCCTGGCCGCCCTGAGAGCTGTCTGGGCCTCACTGGGCCGCGCTGTGGACGGGTGGGCCAGTGACTGGGCGCTGGCTAGAGCAGGAGCTTCCTTCAGTAAGAGCCAGCCACGGCCATCCTGTCCCCTCCCACCAGGACCAATGGGTGACACTGAGGCCCAAAAGCCATGGCAGGGGGAGGAGCTGGACAACCTCACAATGGGCCGGTCTCGGCAGATGGTGTGCATTGGGATATGGAGGGAGGGAGGGAGGGCCAGCAGGGAAAAGAGGGACAAGCTGCATAGTGCAGTGCATGGTGGTGCACATCTCACATCCCAGCATTCAGGAGGCTGAGGCAGAAGGATCTCTGTGAGTTCAAGGCCAGCCTGAACTACATAGCAAGACCCTGCCTCAAAAAAACAAACAACAAAAAAAAGAAAGAAAGCAAAGAAAGAACAAAGCAAGCTGCGTAGTGAATTGGTCTCCATCTGCACATGGCTACTGACCCACAAAAGAGCAAGGCTTTCATGGACTAGAAGGTTGCTGCTCTGCGGTACAGTGCTGCCCTTGTGTGCACAGGCCCATCCCCTACATTGCCAAGAAAGAAAGGAAGAAAGGAAGAGAGAAAAAGAGAACGAGAGAGAGAAAGAAAGAAAGCCTTGTGGAACCACGAGGAGGTGTCCTTTCTAAAGCCACTACTGTTTCTCAGGCACCTGCCATGTGCCGGTGTCTAGGCAGGGCCTCGGATGCCAGTCCCTACTGAGTCCCGAGCCTTAACAACCCTGAGGGAGAGGCCGTCACTGCCTCCATTCTGCAAATGCAGAACCTGAGGCTCAGCCAGGAGAAGGGACTGTGTCCAGGTCACAGCCAGGAAGGGCCGCACAGGGAAGGGGCCAGGGCAGGGCTGGCCAAAGTGGGGAGTGCTGCCTGTAGGGCCCAGCCGTTCCTGCAGTGCCCTTGGTGGGGTGGAGGCCAGTAGAGAAGGGACAGGTAGCAAATGCCATCAGGAGCAAGAGGCCCTTTGTGGAGGCAGCAGTGTGGGACTCGTGCAGAGCTCACTGGGCAGCAGCCTGGGAGAGCCATTCAAGGCCTGGCAAGGCCGTGCCCAGCCATAGGCACAGGGACCAGTATTGGCACATTCCAAGGTCCTTCCTGTCGCCTGTCCTCACAGCACCGGCTCCCTCCCTGCTGTACAGTCGTGGGTCAGTGGCTGAACATGACAGCCCAGAGCCCGGTCATCCAGGCACCCTCCTGGCCTCAGCAACGGCTTCCAGACAGTCACCTTTCTGCTATTTCACTATGGCCTTGTAGATAATCATTTGTTTTCTGTTTCCCTTCTCGCCCAAATTGTCATGTCCTGAAAAGTACACTTCTTTTGTTGTCATTTTTTCCCCCTGTTTTTTTGAGACAGGGTCTCAATACGCTGTCCAGGCTGGCCTTAAACTCACTATTTAGTCCAGGCTGGCCTAGAACTAGCAGCAATCCTCCTGCCTCAGCCTCCCAGGGTGCTGGGATTACTGACATGTGTTGGTGCCCCAGCAAAACAGAGCTTTTCAACCAAGAGGTTGGAAGAGCATAATGGAGTCCATTGGGACTGAACATGCCATAGTTGGTGCGGCTGCTGGAGAGGGCTGTGTGGGACAGCCAGGAGAGGTACTATTCCCCGGAGCCTTTGACAGAGGAACGAAGAGTGGCACGAAACCCTCACAGCAGGGGCTGGAGCCAACACTGCAAGTGTAAAGCTGGCCATGAAATCGACAGTATTGAAAACAAAGGCCATGAACACTCAAGCCTCGCCACATTCCAATGAGTTTACTACGCATGACTGTCCTCCATCCAGTGCGCAAGAAGCAAGACAGGATCTCCAGGCAGGAGTATAGCTCTGTGGCAGAACCCTTCCCTAAGCAAACGCAAGGCCCCAGGTTCAACTCTCAGCACCATGAAACCAAATAAAAGATAGGGTCTTGCCTTGTAGCCCACGTTGGCCTCAAATTCCCTAAATAACTCAGGCTGGGCTCAAACTTACGATCCTCCTGCCTCATCCTGCAGTGTGGTGGGCTGCCAGGCGTGCATTCAGGCCCAGCTGGCAAGTGAACACTTGATGGTGTGCCAGCATGCCACGCTGCCGCCCTGAATGGCAGCAGAGAGAAGGGGAGCTGTTCCTGCACTTATGCTCAGAGGCGGCTCCCACCCTCCCAGGCAGACAGGGCATCCGCATACGTGGGACATGGGACACTGGCGCCCTGGGAGGCAGAATCACAAGGATGCCTTTCTCCCTGCAATCATTACCCAGCAGTGGCATTGCCATGGAAACCCGGCGAGGCATTGGAAGAGTGCAGAGCAGGCTGGTGGGGGCTGGGTACCTCGAATCAGGGGCCATGAAGAAATGGCCGGTGACTGCCCGGCAGGCCCACTTTGCTGGGCAAGCTATGCACACGGGCAGCTCTGCTATGGAAGCCCCCTCTCTCCTGTCATGTCCCGGGGGCAGAAACCAGCGGTGACAAGCCAGGAGTCAGCCCCATGGGGAAGAGGTCACCGCACAATGGGGAAATCCAGAACACTAAGCAAAGAAGCTGTGGCTGGGGACAGGGCAGGGCCACAGTGTGGCCCCTGTCCGTCCGAGACAGCACCTCTTCTCCCCTGACTGGAGTCCCCACCCCACTCCACCCCCACCGTCACGAGGCGAGGCTCTGCACTGAAATGTCCCCACCCTTCACACTTCTCCATGATCTGCAAGGTGTAGCTCAGAGGTGAAGCGCTTGCCTAGCACCTCAAAACAGAAACTACGCAGGCCTGTTCGGTGGCACACACCTTGGATCCCGGCACTGGGGAGGCTGAGGCAGGAGGACTGGCTCGAGCTCAAGGCCTGCCTGGGCCAGGAATGTAGCTCAGTGGCACAGCATCTGCCTGTTAAGCGCGAGTGCCTGAGTTTGGTTCCTGGAACCACCACCACCCCCCACCCCCGCCAAAAAAGGCCCGGGCGGGGGATTTAGCTCAGTGGTGCCGCCAACTGCCTCGCAAGCACAAGGTTCCAAGTTCAATCCCCAGCACCAAAAAAAAAAAGGCCCACTTGGGCTACATAATGAGTTCAAGGTCAGACTGAACTACATAGTGAGACCCTGTCTCAAAAAACAAAACAGAACAAAAGCTTCCCAACCCAGGCCTAGGGGCCCACAGACTCAGCCAGCCCCATAGGCCGTGGGTACACATGTCACAGATAGGAGGAAGATCCACCCAGCCACTCCACATGGAACCCAGGCGTCTGGGGACGGGGACAGATTGCCCCCTTGGTGTCAGGTGACGACTCACAGGTGGACAGCAGTCAAACAAGAGTGGGTTCAGGGACGACCCCAGCTGCACAGACCTGGGTCGGCACCGGGCCACTCAGAGGACTGAAAACACAACAGAGATGCTGGCCAAGGGGGCCCAGACTGACCACATCCTGGGCACTGTGGCAATGACACCTTCCCGAGGGCTGCACACAGAAGGGCTCCCACCTCCACATGCCCTGCTGCAACCTCAGTCGGTGGGGACACACAGGGACCTCCCCTCTGCCCGGACGCCTTCTTACCGGGAAAGGCGAGGCCCATGCAACCCAATGCAAGCTGGGGGCAAGTCACCGTCGGTGGCGGGAGGGGTCGCATGGGGGAAGGCCTGAAGCCACATCTGGGGTCTGGGGGACAGGTGAGGGTGGGCCAGGTGGATCTGGGTGCCAGTGGAGTGTCCTCAGGGTGCCTTCTCTTCCCCTGGCCTCCCAGTAGGCTCAGTGACAGCCTGTGTCCAGTGTCCCATGTCCCTCTGACATGGCTACCCCCATACCTCACTGTCCCTGTGATCTCATCTGAGACCTGCTTGTCACTTCCTGCCCCTCCTCCTGTCGCACCAGTCAGGGTCTGGAACTAATGTCACATCGTTGCCCATAGATAAGTCGGTCCTCCGGACTGAAGAACCTGCACCTTGTCACATGAGAAGGACAGCAAACGAGGAGAAGGGAGAAGGTGAGAGCCTGCCCAACACCCTGGGGAGCGAAGGTCTACACCACCGGCCACCATGCCCCCTCTGGGCCGGACATCAGGCCCTGGGCCAGGTACGCGAGCAAGCTTCTGGGAGGCAGGCGGGGGACACAGGTGGGGACGAGCCTGCGCCCGGACTGCAGTGGGCTCTGCACACTGCCCGTAAAACCGGGCACCCAGTGACGGCCAAACCCACTCCAGCCACATGCAGCGACCAGCCCGAAAGGCCCACGGACTCTCAAAGCCAAGAGGCCGACATGCTTGCAATGGTTCGGGACAGAGCCCGAGGGGTCCCCTAGGGAAGGGGCCTGGCTGCATCCCCTGGCATGTGTCTGGGGAGGGGACAGTGCCGCTTGTCACCTGGCCCATTATCCGAAAGTCTTGTTAACAGGTTCCCTCCCCAGGCGCAGACCTACCTCCATTGGGGGCAGCAGGGACAGAGGCACATGCCACTATGAAACAGGCCTCCTGGTCCAGCATAGCCCACCCCTTGGGGTACAACACACAACTCCCGTCCCCCGTGCTGCACACACCTGTTCCAAACACCATGGGAGGGGACAGCCACCTACTGGAGCCTCAGCTGTCTCCAGCCACTGTCCCTCATCTTGCCCATAATACAGGTGTTCAGAGCGCCCCACCTAGGAGATCAGATCGGAAGTCCCTGGCCCCCCTGCTAGGCCATGCCCATCGTGGCCTGGACTTTGTGTCCCCAGTACAGTTGAGTTTGGAGTCCTTGGATGTCACCTTGCACCCTGGACAGGAGACTGGAGTCTTATTGGGGCCCCTCTGCCTAGATGGGGCCCGACTGGTCCCCACACTGTGTTGGGGACACTGTGTCCCCCACTTACACATGAGCACCCACCCATGACTGCTCCAAGCCTTGCAAGCCCAGGCTCCTTGCTGGGTATACTTTCCCCATC